CACACACACACACACACACACACACACACACACACACACACACACACCAGCACACACACACACACACACACACACACACACACACACCAGCACACATACTCTTGACCTCAAGCCATGGAAACCTTCCTTTGTCCCCACATAAATGATGTGCTGCCTGTCATTTTTATGTTTTACTGGCTGGTGGATTCCATGTAATAACTGTCAGTTTTCTGCTCCTGCTGCTTCCCCTGCTGCAAACGAGCTAATCTGTTCAGAGGAAGATAATTGCAGAGCAGTTGAGATAAAAAGGAAAGGCCTGCATCTCACCGCTGTTGTGAGCCTCCAGCTGCGAGGCAGAGTTCACAGCCACCTTGCATAGCGAACAGTAAAGTAGCCTCTTTGCCTTTTCTTCCTCGGTCTCTGTGGAGGGACTTGAGCTGTTGCCAGTGGCTGCCACCGCTGTGGGGCTTTTTTCCGGTTTAGAGATCTCGGTTGTTACGGCGTTGCTCTTGCGCATTTCCACATTTGTCGTTGATATCACTGTTGTCCCTGTGGTACTGTCTGTATTCAAGACAGAACAGGAGAAAGAGTTAGGAAATCATGGCAGCATCTCTCCATACTCAGAAACACATCACTAATGTAAAAACTGCTAAAAATGATAACAGTATGTAGCCGGAATGCTTTGACACCTGTGACTTAATCCTGACATCCATCACAAATGATCACAACTAATTTCACACACTAAAATATGTTAGATGATGCCTCAAAACATACACAAGTACAGTTAGAAACTATCCTCTTGCCACAGAATAGGCATAACACAAATGTCTCTGAACATACTGCCTCCCTGAAGGAAATGTGCTAGTATGTTTCCTTCTTTATATACACATTTCAATGCCAATAGTTTTTAAGATAAAGATACAGGATGAATGCTCTTCACTGCTTTTCTTTTTCTTACTTCCTGTCTTCTTATCCTCCTAATACATGTATTTCTTTATTTAAATATTAGTATAAATCCTTTGGTACGGGCTTAGGAAAAAGTTTACAGGATATTAGTATCACAATTGTTGTGTTCAGTTCAGCAGCTCATTGAAATCATGGCTGTATTCATAAAGAATTCTAGTTCAGTACCCGGTACCAAAAGCACTGATATAAAAATAAGTGAAATTCTAGTCTGGATATTTATTAAAGGCTTGCTCTGTTTCAGCATGTGTGCAGGAAGTTCATGGCAGGTGTAGTCAATCAAAGACACTACTCTCAAGGAATCCCAGGCTTGTCATACCACGTTAGTATTTCAAGAGGTTGACGATCATGAAAGTCTTGATGTATTGTAATCCAATAACCCTCTGGCTCCAAGTTCTGATACTAAATCTCGAGAGATCAACCTTCAAAGTGCAACCACTTCACCCTAACTTCCCTCAGAGACACACTAAATTCCCTGAATGTATGCCAATCAGTATATCAGTAACGTTCGTCATACCCAATGATCATTTACAAATAAAATCTGTTCTTGGGTACTACCTAAGCCCATCTTTCTTCTGCCTCTCAGCTGATGCTTAACCTCTTAGCCTCCCGAATACTCTCAGCCTACCTCTCCAACTACCCTTAGTTTGCTCTTCCATATGTCATTCCATAGACTTCCATGGTCACTGTTTCATGCCATAATGAAAAGTCTGAAGATAAATGCATTTGTCAGTGGGTGTGAGGGACAGTGATCTGTTTGTAATGGTGTATGGTATGGGTAAATATATATGATGTGTGTGTGCGTGCATGTGTGTGTGTGTGTGTGTGTGTGTGTGTGTGTGTACGTGCCCCACACGTACACATACATCTGTGGAGGCCAGACTAAGGGACTGGATTCCCTGGAGCTGGAATTGCAAGTGGTTGTAAAATTTCAGACATAAATGAGGGGAACTAAGTTTGATTTCTCTGCCTCTGCAGTAATTGCCCTGTTCCACTGAACATCTCTCCAGTCCCAAGATGTCCACCTTCTGATTAACTTTTACTACCCCAATAAATTCCCATTATTAAAAACCAGAAAATAGCTCCAAATTTTCTCTAAGAGTCTTGAAGTAGCAAAAAACCAATAGCTTTCAGATAGGTCTATAACTGTTCAATGTCACCAACAAACAAAAATGATTCAAAACACTTTTCTCTAAATTTATTACCAGCATCGAGTTTATCAAGGGTTTATACTATAAAATGAATTTTATGTACTTCTTAAACCATTTCAATTTGCCTTTTCTTGAGCTACAGATATCAGAAATCTCCAGAATTTAAGGAAATGATACAGGGCCTCACAGTAGGACAGAGTGAAGCAGGGTAAAATACTTCATGAAATGTATAAGTTGGAAATTTAATAAAAGAGGGATACATTAATGGCAATCTTTGCCATGACTGTGATTGTCCATGGTAAGATCACAAGCAGTTGTTTGCTACAATCACTAAATTTGTTTTGCATTCAGCTCTATGGGGAGTGAGGACTGTAAATACCATACTTTAAACCCAGTGTGTCAGTGCAATAAAGTCAGAGGGCATTGGTGTGGGCATGTATTTCAAGGAATGACCAAGGCAGAGATTTCCCTGGTAACATCCTCCTTCTAAGAGCATTTCCTATGGACCAGTATTTTTTTATATATATTGATCTAAAAAGGGTATGTAACACAGACCGTATTAATCCTAAAACAATGTTCTTATTTACAGTGAGTTTTATAATTAAAAAATGCAGTCAGGGCTCTTCCAATCCCCCCAATAACTGTACTAATCTGTTCTTCTGAATATAGAGGGCAATGCCCATTTATTCCTGCTGTGGAATAATGTTCTTGTACCTTGTAAAGATTTGCCACTCATTTTGGTTTAATAAAATGCTAATTGGCCAATAGCCAGGCAGGAAGTATAGGCAGGGCAACCAAAGTAGGAGAGTTCTGGGAAAAAGAAAGGTTTCAGTTTGCAGTTGCCATCTAGACATAGAGGAAGCAAGATGAACATGCTGCACTGAGAAAAGGTACCAAGCCACGTAGCTAAACATAAATAAGACTTATAGGTTAACTTAAGTCATAAGAGCTAGTCAGTAATAAGCCTGAGGTAATCGCCCAAACAGTTTATTATTAATATAAGCCTCTGTGTGTTTCTTTGGGTCTGACTGGTTGCAGAACCGGGTGGGATGGAATCCTCCAGCTACATATTCTAAAAACACTGTAAGGTGCCAGGTGCCAGGCTGTGTACTTAGGACTTAGTAAAGCCTTCACACCTGATGGAGACTCCTCACTTGAAACAGTATCTGGGAATTCATCACGAAATGCTTAACTTCCAACTATTTTTGACCACATAGTTGAGAATGTGTTTGTTGTATTTTAAGCTTCCAAACAATTGATAAAGACACAAAACTATATTTTGCTAATTTTAAATTTAATGTGTAGATCTTGGGTTCATAAGGGAAGACCCCTATTCATTTATAAAAAGACACATGTTGACTACTTCCCACTTTCTCTTCTATCAGGTTCAAAATGGTCAGATTAATGTTGATGTCTTTAATCCATTTGTACCTGAGGTTTGTGAATGGTGATAGATATGGATCTATTTTCATTCATCTACAGGTTGACATCCAGTTATGACAGCACCATTTGTTAAAGATGCTTTCCTTCTTCCATTGTATACCTTTAGCTCCCTTGTCAAATATCAGGTGTTCATACGTTTGTGGGTTAATACCCGGGTCTTCTATTCGATTCCATAGGTCGACTTCTCTGCTGTTATGCCAATACCAAGCTGTTTTCAATACTGTTGCTCTGTAATAGAGTTTGAAGTCAGGGATGGTAATGCCTCCAGAAGTTCCTTTATTGTATAAGATTGTTTTGGCTATCCTGGGTTTTTTGTTTTGCCATATAAACTTGATTATTGTTCTCTCAAGGTCTGTGAAGAAGTTTGATGGAATTTTGATGGGAATTGCATTGAATCTATAGATGGCATTTGGTAGAATTGCCATTTTTACTATGTTGATTCTCCCAATCCAAGAGCAGGGGAGGTCTTTCCAACAAGATATGGGCACAGGAGACCAGTTCCTAAGCAGAACCCCAGGAGCGCAGACAATAAGAGAAGCAATGAATAAATGAACCTACTGAAACTGAGAAGCTTCTGTAAAGCAAAGGACACTGTCAGTAAGACCAAAAGGCTACCTTCTGACCGGGAGAAGATCTTCACAAACCCCTCATCAGACAAAGGTCTGATCTCCAAAATATACAAAGAACTCAAGAAACTAGACACTAAAACTCTAATTAACCCAATTAAAAAATGGGGTACTGAACTGAACAGAGAATTCACAAGAGATGAACTCCGAATGGCCAAAAGGCACTTAAGGTCATGTTCAACCTCCTTAGCGATCAGGGAAATGCAAATCAAAACAACTTTGAGATATCATCTTACACCTGTCAGAATAGCCAAACTCAAAAACACCAATGATAGCCTATGCTGGAGAGGATGTGGAATGAGGGGAACACTCATCCATTGTTCATGGGAATGCAAACTTGTGCAGCCACTGTGGAAATCAGTGTGGCGGTTTCTCAGGAAACTGGGAGTCAACCTCCCTCAGGACCCAGCAATTCCACTCTTGGGAATATACCCAAGAGATGCCCTATCATACTACAAAAGCATTTGTTCAACTATGTTCATAGCAGCACTATTTGTAATAGCCAGAACCTGGAAACAACCTAGGTGTCCCTCAATAGAAGAATGGTTAATAAAGGTGTGGAACATATACACATTAGAGTTCTATTCAGCGGTAAAAAAAATGAGATCTTGAATTTTGCATGTAAATGGATGGAAATAGAAAACGCTTTACTGAGTGAGGTAAGCCAGACCCAAAAAGAGGAATATGGTATGTATTCAGTCATATGTGGATTCTAACCATAATTAAAGGTCTTTGAGCCTATTATTCGTGATCCTAGAGAAGCTAAATAAGGAGGTGAACCTGATGAAAATCATGTCGCTATCTGCCTGGAGATCGGAAATAGACAAGAGTCCCAGGTAACCTCGGGTGCATGGGGGGGGGGTGGGAGGGTTGTTGGAAGGGGAGAGGGTTAGAGAGAAGGGAGTAGGGGAGGAATGGGGAAAGCTAGGTGGACTGGGATGGGGGGAGGGAGGAAGGTTGGATATGAGATCAGGGAAGAATATATTTCAACTAAGGGAGTCATTTTAGGGTTTACAGAAGACTTGATTATAAATGGGATCCCAGGTCCAAGGAGATCCCCAGATTGTTCTCTGGACAGAAGAAAGGGTGCCTGAAACGGCCTAGGCCCATAACCATACTGATGAATATTTTGCTTATCACCATAGAACCTTCATCTGGCGATGGATGGAGATAGAGACAGAGACCCACATTGGAACACTGGACTTAACTCCCTAGGTCCAAACGAGAAGCAGAAGGAAAGAGAACGTGAGCAAAGAAGGCAAGAGCAGAGAGAACCTTCATCCCACGATGGATGGCGATACAGACGGAGACCCACATTGGAGCACCGGACTGAGCCCCGCAAGGTCCAAATGAGGAGCAGAAGGAGGAAGAAAATGAA